AAATTTCGACCCGAAAAAAAAACGACAGTGTTACCCCTTTCGTTTTTTTTCATTTTCGGGCGAAAAATTAAGTTTCTCCAATCTTCTCAAAACTCTGGATTCTGATAGAGGGCCACGAGACTTTGACCTGAGTGCAAAAATGGAGGCTCTAGACCCTTCCAGAGCTGAGATATCGAAATTCAAAATTTCGACCCGAAAAAAAAACGACAGTGTTACCCCTTTCGTTTTTTTTCATTTTCGGGCGAAAAATTAAGTTTCTCCAATCTTCTCAAAACTCTGGATTCTGATAGAGGGCCACGAGACTTTGACCTGAGTGCAAAAATGGAGGCTCTAGACCCTTCCAGAGCTGAGATATCGAAATTCAAAATTTCGACCCGAAAAAAAAACGACAGTGTTACCCCTTTCGTTTTTTTTCATTTTCGGGCGAAAAATTAAGTTTCTCCAATCTTCTCAAAACTCTGGATTCTGATAGAGGGCCACGAGACTTTGACCTGAGTGCAAAAATGGAGGCTCTAGACCCTTCCAGAGCTGAGATATCGAAATTCAAAATTTCGACCCGAAAAAAAAACGACAGTGTTACCCCTTTCGTTTTTTTTCATTTTCGGGCGAAAAATTAAGTTTCTCCAATCTTCTCAAAACTCTGGATTCTGATAGAGGGCCACGAGACTTTGACCTGAGTGCAAAAATGGAGGCTCTAGACCCTTCCAGAGCTGAGATATCGAAATTCAAAATTTCGACCCGAAAAAAAAACGACAGTGTTACCCCTTTCGTTTTTTTTCATTTTCGGGCGAAAAATTAAGTTTCTCCAATCTTCTCAAAACTCTGGATTCTGATAGAGGGCCACGAGACTTTGACCTGAGTGCAAAAATGGAGGCTCTAGACCCTTCCAGAGCTGAGATATCGAAATTCAAAATTTCGACCCGAAAAAAAAACGACAGTGTTACCCCTTTCGTTTTTTTTCATTTTCGGGCGAAAAATTAAGTTTCTCCAATCTTCTCAAAACTCTGGATTCTGATAGAGGGCCACGAGACTTTGACCTGAGTGCAAAAATGGAGGCTCTAGACCCTTCCAGAGCTGAGATATCGAAATTCAAAATTTCGACCCGAAAAAAAAACGACAGTGTTACCCCTTTCGTTTTTTTTCATTTTCGGGCGAAAAATTAAGTTTCTCCAATCTTCTCAAAACTCTGGATTCTGATAGAGGGCCACGAGACTTTGACCTGAGTGCAAAAATGGAGGCTCTAGACCCTTCCAGAGCTGAGATATCGAAATTCAAAATTTCGACCCGAAAAAAAAACGACAGTGTTACCCCTTTCGTTTTTTTTCATTTTCGGGCGAAAAATTAAGTTTCTCCAATCTTCTCAAAACTCTGGATTCTGATAGAGGGCCACGAGACTTTGACCTGAGTGCAAAAATGGAGGCTCTAGACCCTTCCAGAGCTGAGATATCGAAATTCAAAATTTCGACCCGAAAAAAAAACGACAGTGTTACCCCTTTCGTTTTTTTTCATTTTCGGGCGAAAAATTAAGTTTCTCCAATCTTCTCAAAACTCTGGATTCTGATAGAGGGCCACGAGACTTTGACCTGAGTGCAAAAATGGAGGCTCTAGACCCTTCCAGAGCTGAGATATCGAAATTCAAAATTTCGACCCGAAAAAAAAACGACAGTGTTACCCCTTTCGTTTTTTTTCATTTTCGGGCGAAAAATTAAGTTTCTCCAATCTTCTCAAAACTCTGGATTCTGATAGAGGGCCACGAGACTTTGACCTGAGTGCAAAAATGGAGGCTCTAGACCCTTCCAGAGCTGAGATATCGAAATTCAAAATTTCGACCCGAAAAAAAAACGACAGTGTTACCCCTTTCGTTTTTTTTCATTTTCGGGCGAAAAATTAAGTTTCTCCAATCTTCTCAAAACTCTGGATTCTGATAGAGGGCCACGAGACTTTGACCTGAGTGCAAAAATGGAGGCTCTAGACCCTTCCAGAGCTGAGATATCGAAATTCAAAATTTCGACCCGAAAAAAAAACGACAGTGTTACCCCTTTCGTTTTTTTTCATTTTCGGGCGAAAAATTAAGTTTCTCCAATCTTCTCAAAACTCTGGATTCTGATAGAGGGCCACGAGACTTTGACCTGAGTGCAAAAATGGAGGCTCTAGACCCTTCCAGAGCTGAGATATCGAAATTCAAAATTTCGACCCGAAAAAAAAACGACAGTGTTACCCCTTTCGTTTTTTTTCATTTTCGGGCGAAAAATTAAGTTTCTCCAATCTTCTCAAAACTCTGGATTCTGATAGAGGGCCACGAGACTTTGACCTGAGTGCAAAAATGGAGGCTCTAGACCCTTCCAGAGCTGAGATATCGAAATTCAAAATTTCGACCCGAAAAAAAAAACGACAGTGTTACCCCTTTCGTTTTTTTTCATTTTCGGGCGAAAAATTAAGTTTCTCCAATCTTCTCAAAACTCTGGATTCTGATAGAGGGCCACGAGACTTTGACCTGAGTGCAAAAATGGAGGCTCTAGACCCTTCCAGAGCTGAGATATCGAAATTCAAAATTTCGACCCGAAAAAAAAAACGACAGTGTTACCCCTTTCGTTTTTTTTCATTTTCGGGCGAAAAATTAAGTTTCTCCAATCTTCTCAAAACTCTGGATTCTGATAGAGGGCCACGAGACTTTGACCTGAGTGCAAAAATGGAGGCTCTAGACCCTTCCAGAGCTGAGATATCGAAATTCAAAATTTCGACCCGAAAAAAAAACGACAGTGTTACCCCTTTCGTTTTTTTTCATTTTCGGGCGAAAAATTAAGTTTCTCCAATCTTCTCAAAACTCTGGATTCTGATAGAGGGCCACGAGACTTTGACCTGAGTGCAAAAATGGAGGCTCTAGACCCTTCCAGAGCTGAGATATCGAAATTCAAAATTTCGACCCGAAAAAAAAACGACAGTGTTACCCCTTTCGTTTTTTTTCATTTTCGGGCGAAAAATTAAGTTTCTCCAATCTTCTCAAAACTCTGGATTCTGATAGAGGGCCACGAGACTTTGACCTGAGTGCAAAAATGGAGGCTCTAGACCCTTCCAGAGCTGAGATATCGAAATTCAAAATTTCGACCCGAAAAAAAAACGACAGTGTTACCCCTTTCGTTTTTTTTCATTTTCGGGCGAAAAATTAAGTTTCTCCAATCTTCTCAAAACTCTGGATTCTGATAGAGGGCCACGAGACTTTGACCTGAGTGCAAAAATGGAGGCTCTAGACCCTTCCAGAGCTGAGATATCGAAATTCAAAATTTCGACCCGAAAAAAAAACGACAGTGTTACCCCTTTCGTTTTTTTTCATTTTCGGGCGAAAAATTAAGTTTCTCCAATCTTCTCAAAACTCTGGATTCTGATAGAGGGCCACGAGACTTTGACCTGAGTGCAAAAATGGAGGCTCTAGACCCTTCCAGAGCTGAGATATCGAAATTCAAAATTTCGACCCGAAAAAAAAACGACAGTGTTACCCCTTTCGTTTTTTTTCATTTTCGGGCGAAAAATTAAGTTTCTCCAATCTTCTCAAAACTCTGGATTCTGATAGAGGGCCACGAGACTTTGACCTGAGTGCAAAAATGGAGGCTCTAGACCCTTCCAGAGCTGAGATATCGAAATTCAAAATTTCGACCCGAAAAAAAAAACGACAGTGTTACCCCTTTCGTTTTTTTTCATTTTCGGGCGAAAAATTAAGTTTCTCCAATCTTCTCAAAACTCTGGATTCTGATAGAGGGCCACGAGACTTTGACCTGAGTGCAAAAATGGAGGCTCTAGACCCTTCCAGAGCTGAGATATCGAAATTCAAAATTTCGACCCGAAAAAAAAACGACAGTGTTACCCCTTTCGTTTTTTTTCATTTTCGGGCGAAAAATTAAGTTTCTCCAATCTTCTCAAAACTCTGGATTCTGATAGAGGGCCACGAGACTTTGACCTGAGTGCAAAAATGGAGGCTCTAGACCCTTCCAGAGCTGAGATATCGAAATTCAAAATTTCGACCCGAAAAAAAAACGACAGTGTTACCCCTTTCGTTTTTTTTCATTTTCGGGCGAAAAATTAAGTTTCTCCAATCTTCTCAAAACTCTGGATTCTGATAGAGGGCCACGAGACTTTGACCTGAGTGCAAAAATGGAGGCTCTAGACCCTTCCAGAGCTGAGATATCGAAATTCAAAATTTCGACCCGAAAAAAAAACGACAGTGTTACCCCTTTCGTTTTTTTTCATTTTCGGGCGAAAAATTAAGTTTCTCCAATCTTCTCAAAACTCTGGATTCTGATAGAGGGCCACGAGACTTTGACCTGAGTGCAAAAATGGAGGCTCTAGACCCTTCCAGAGCTGAGATATCGAAATTCAAAATTTCGACCCGAAAAAAAAACGACAGTGTTACCCCTTTCGTTTTTTTTCATTTTCGGGCGAAAAATTAAGTTTCTCCAATCTTCTCAAAACTCTGGATTCTGATAGAGGGCCACGAGACTTTGAC